ATCGAACCCACGCGATATCAAACGCCAAATAAATCTGAATACTTCTTTCGTTTAACAGTTACTGAAAGCGGAATCGAACAAACTATTTATAAAATCCGCTATAAAATTGACGATAAGAATACCGCGGTAACATCAAAAATTCCAGTGGATAAAAAGTCTATTGTTGATAAAAGCAAAATGAATAATACGACTGATCTGCCTACCTCCCCATCCACTAACTCTTTCGCAACTCTATCATACGCCGTAGAGGCCGTTCCTTTCTTCGATGGTCAAAATATATACGTACAACATTTCGTAAAAGGATGCGAAATAGCGAAGCGCATGTTACCACTAGAAGCCGAACCTTATTTCACAAAGGTCATATATAGTCGATTAACCGGAGAAGCGCGAAGCTCGATCCAAGACCAAGACTTTACGCGAATTAATCAATTAAGCAGATATTTAAAAAATATTTTTGAGTTCTCTAAAAGTTCGTGTCAATTGCAAGGCGAGTTAGGACGTATATATCAAAAAGCAAATAAACCGGTTCTCTCTTACGCCAACAGAGTGAAAACTATCGGTAACTGAATTTTAGAAGCTCATCGTATGGAAACTAATGGAATAATAGGTCAAATTTTTAAAACAAATATAGAAAGAGAAATGTGCAGAAGCTTTATTAAAGGGTTAACGACTGAAATAGAAAGAAGGATTCCTAGAAATTTAGATGTAACTGCTACGGTAAATGAAGCTTTAAGGATTTGTTGCGGCGCCGAAACGTCGCGGAAAAATGTGGGGTTGCCCGGTACAGCGCGATAGAGCAGGAGGAGGTGGCAAGGCGCGATAATTAATAAAGTGCTTCTTTTTGATGGTTAAAACGGAACTGGTCGTTTATTTCTTGATTGCCCGATACACTTTTACGTACGCGTCCGACAGCGTGTCGGTGTCCGAGAATTTGAGTCGCACGTTACAATATCGTGCACGCGTCCGACAGCGTGTCGGTATCCGAGAGTTGAGATTGTGAGTCGCGTTCTGCTCCCCTATTGCCTCTTAGTGAGGGGTTTTCCTCTATGTTACCGTTTGTACGTTGCGCGACGGTGGTTCGTAATCTATCGATTTCCTCATCTATCGCGGGACCGTCAATGTGAGGTACATCTTGTACTGTACGCCTGTCCATATTTAAATTATCGAATATCTTGCTCGGATCGAAAACGCTATCGTCGTATAAAGTTAAAGAGAATTCTCCTCTTTCTGAAATGTCAACTATGGTACTATTACTCGGCAAGTTTCTTTGTCATCTAACGCGAGAAGTTACTGGCAATACACTATTATCAATTTCATTAAATGGAAATTCGCGTTCTGCTACTACGTGTATCGGGGGTTGTTCTTTGTTTGAATCTTCTAGTACATTTAGCGCGTCTTGTATTCCTTCTTGTATACTTTGCGCGGTGTTATTTATTAGGTTATCGAAATTTTGAATTACTCGTTCAGCTGGCTGTCTTAGTATATACGCTGCAGGTGCGCTGTGCAGCCAGGATCGATTCTTGCACGGGTTACGCGGTATATTACTACCTTCAGACATTCACGCGGACGCTTAGTTTCTCGCGTGTGTGTGTGTGTGTGTATGTACGCTTGTGTGTATTAGATTAGGACTTACATTAGGAAGACGGAACGCATGTCGACGGGTCGCGCTGTCTCGTTCTCGCACGATTCGTTATCGGTGCTACGATGTGTCCGGCGTCGAGTTGCCTGGCGCTGATCGCTGCGTTGAGGTAGGTAGTTTCTGCTGCCTTTGCTGCGTTGTTGCCTCCTCTACTATCGTGGTCGGTCTGTGTAGGTGGTTGTAGCTCCGACGTCCGTTCCTTCTAGGTTGCCACGTAATTTTTCGTTCCCGTTGTTTAATCGTCCCAAGATTTGCTGCTCACCACTCTGTTATTTGCGATTGCTTCTTCACAGAGTCCTTCTCCTTTTTCTGTTGCAGGCTGTGCTGGAGGGCAGTATCCCACCGCTGCCACCAGAATTGTTGCGGCGCCGAAACGTCGCGGAAAAATGTGGGGTTGCCTGGTACAGCGCGATAGAGCAGGAGGAGGTGGCGAGGCGCGATAAGTAATAAAGAGCTTCTTTTTGATGATTAAAACTGAACTGGTCGTTTATTATTTGCTTGCCCGATACTATTTTACGTATGCGTCCGACAGCGTGTCGGTGCTCGAGAGTTAGAGTTGCCCGTTACAATATCGTGCACGCGTTCGACAGAGTGTCGGTATCCGAGAGTTGAGGTTGTGAGTCGCCGCCCGCTCCGGTCTTACGTTCCTTTTTATCCTCTTCCTATGGCTTAATCAGATGGGGCGGTTGTTGATGTGTCAGCGTCATCTAAACGAAGACGCTGACCATCCTGATTGCGATATCTCTATTGCGAAAATGCCAGGTTGCATTTCCGCATAGCGATGTTTGGCAATTCGGAGCAGTGGCTCCGCGGTAATGTCGTTGACATACTTTATTGTTGCGTTTACAACAGATTGAAAAGGATTTGGAATAAATTAGTGAATTGCAAGAGGTACGAAATTCCTCATATGTTAAAAATTTGTGTCAGATTTGTCGGTAATTTGACCACACTGAAGAAAAGTGTCAATTATATTTACAGAACACGATAACCTCTAACATCAATAATGAGATTTTAGTACACTAAATTTGTCAAAAACGCGGACACTGTGCTGCTAAATGTCGATTGAGAGACCCCATTGTTAAGCACCCTGTTAAAACAATTCAAGGTAATACTGTCATATGTCAGGTCTGTTCTAAATCTGGCCACATCGCATAAAATTGCCTGATTAATAACCAACCTAACATTATTTGTCAAAATTGTCAATGATACGGCCATAGTTCCAGCGAATGTAGAGATAATTCATTTTCTAATTATCAACCTGTCTGTCAATTATGTAATAAGACCGGTCGCGACGCAAAAAATTGTTATACTAATTGTAGTAATCCATTTTCTAACAATACTATTGTCTGCCAAATGTGTAATAAGATTGGCCATAACGCAAAAAATTGTTATTCCAATATTAATCGTAATTCAAAAGTCAATAACAAAATCTGTCAGTGGTGCAATCGATGCGGGCATCCGGCATCTCAATGTCAAGAACGACAAAATGAAAATAGAAACCAATCGAATAATAATAATCAACTCATTTATCAATTATGTAACAAAGTAGGACGTAAAGCTAGGGAATGTCGCGGAAATCAATCAGGAAGAAATAATTTTAACCGGCCAGTCGAATATTCTCCAGCTCCGCCAATTCAATGTAGATATTGTAAAGCCACAAATCACTTAATAGAAAATTATGTTCTGCGATTAGAAAATAATCGTAAAAGACAGTAAAACTATCCAGGACCTGTGATTACGGACGCGCATCGGGGCCCCAATGGGCAGGGACGTCCTGTAATGACGGCTCAGACCGAAAACTTTACAACCAAACTTTTGTAGTACTATCAGTAGAAATTAATTTGAATAAGGAAAATTGTGTTCCTACTGTTCAATTAAGTTTACAAAATAATAATTATGTCAAAACATTCATGTTAGATACTGGTTCAGGACCCAATTTAATTAAAGAAAATCGAATATCGAAATTCTTAAAAATAGATTTTAACAGGGTATTAATGTTAAATGGAATTAATGAGCACCCTGTATATACTATGGGAAAGATAACTATAATTATCTTGGATATTCCTGTCAATTTCCATGTTTTATCTAACGATTTTTCTATTCAAACTAATGGAATACTAGGTAACGATTTCTTTGGACAGACCGGAGCTAGAATCGATTATTCAACAGGACATTTAGAGGTTCAAAATACAAGAATCCCTTTTTATTCTTCTGAATCTATAATAGTATTCGCGCACTCAAAAGCCTTGTTCTTCGCGCGCATAGGGAACCCACACATCAAAGAAGGATACCTACCGAAAATAACCTTCGATAAAAGAGTAGAAGCAAAAACGATAGTAAAAAATAAAGACGGTAAAGCCTATATGTATGTTGCTAATTGTTTGGACACAGAAGTAGAATTATTGATACACACTATTAATATACGACCGGCATACTCTAAAGATAATGAGAAAAGAAACAATATCACGGATAACGGTAACAAGATACATGATTCTGGCCACGATGAAAGTGAAAACCGGGTAGCGTTTTTACGCTACCTGACTGTCGGGACAATAAGGTACAAAGGAAAAAATTTGCTGACGAAATCTCAGACATGATCCTAGAGGACGCGGGACGCGGAGAACAAAAGCTTCCTCTTCACTCAGAACGTAGTAAAAATCGCGAGAAAAGGATTACTTCCCACGCCTCTTATGAGAACATTATTTCCCACAATTTTCCTAACGAAGGGGACGATTTCCAAATTCCCCATGATTCCTTAAATAATATCCTTAACTAAAGGGACAATTTCCAGATTCTCCACGATTCCTTAAAAAATATTTCCAATCGAGGGGACGATTTCCAGATTTACCACGATTCCTTAAAAAATACTCTCAACCAAGAGGACGATTTCCAGATTCCCAATGATTCCTTAAATAATATTCTTAACCAAGGGGACGATTTCCAGACTCCCCACGATTCCTTAAAAAGTACCCTCAACCAAGGGGATAATTTCCAGATTCCCCACGATTCCTTAAAAAATATTTCCAGTCAAGGGGACGATTTCTAGATTCCCCACGATTCCTTGAAAAATACTCTTAATCAAGGGGACGATTTCCAGTTTTCCCACTATTGTTTAAAAAATACTCTCAATTAAGGAGACGATTTCCAGATCCCCCCCCCCCGTAAATCTTTAAAAATTATTCCTAAACAAAGGAACAGTTTCCAGATCCCCCACGATTCCTTAAAAAATACTCTCAATCAAGGGGACGACGCCCAGACTCTCCACGTACAGTTAAGTAAAAATATAAGTAAGAATCAAGAAGAAAGTTCCTAATCTTTTTATACAAATTCCTATATTTCTAAGCAAGTGGTCAATTTCCAGACATCCCATATATCCCCTGACATAAATGAAAATCAAGAGGAAAAATATTATAGTTTAACCTTAGAAGAGAAACGTGAAAAAAATCCTCAAGGCGTTAGAGAAAATTTTAATATCAGTAATCAAAAATTAAAACATCAAAAACAAGACCCAATACCCTTTTTGAGTAATATCGCCAATAAGCTTAGCGAAACTCAGGAGGGAGCATTCAAAGCCTGCTGTGAAAATATTAAAACTCAGAAAATTAAGGAACAAAGTATAAACATTTCAGTCAAACAACCAATCCTCATTAGAACCTCAGGTGTAAAACCGGTATTTGATCTCCAAAACTCCCCTGATCTCGAGGGTATTACAGGCGATAACAAATATAATATGAATAATACAAATAATAACATAATTTCACATGTTCACACAATTTCAGTTCCAGATCGTCCGGTAGCAATAATTGACACTAGTACATCTAAGACTGATATGCATTCTATCGACGGATTTGACGAACGCATTAATATTATAAATTATAACGAAAATTCTGATAATCCAATTTTGAATACAAATATTCTTTGCGTGAAACCAACTGACACTTATGACGATGACCGGCTAAACGACCTACTAAAATTAATTAATTTGGACCATTTAAATTCGGAAGAAGCAACCAGTATATTAGATTTGATAAAGGCTCATCAAGAATGCTTCCAATTGCCTAAAGAAAAATTGACTGCAACGCACGTACTACAACATCGTATACCGACTACAGACGACTATCCGATAAATACTAAACAGTACAGATTGCCACAAGTTCACAAATTTGAAATAAATAAACAAGTGCAAGAACTTCTAGACGGCGATATTATCCGACATTCTCAATCATCGTATAATACTCCCATCTGGATATCGCCTAAAAGGGTTGATGCACACGGTAATAAACGTTGGCATATGATTTTGGATTTCCGCTCTCTAAATGATAAAACTCTTGGTGACGCTTATCCGTCACCTAATATGATTGACATTCTCGATCAGCTCGGTAGAGCTCAATATTTTTCCCTTTTTGATTTAGCTTCTGGATTTCATCAAATTGAAATGGATCCACGCGATAGTTACAAAACAGTTTTCACTACATCTTTTGGACATTATAAATTTAACCGAATGCCTTTCAGTTTAAAAAACGTTCCTGCAACGATTTCAAAGATTAATGGACATAGTTTTATCAGGAATACAGGTACAAGAAGTATTTGTTTATTTACATGATATAGTGTTATACGCTTCTTCTTTAAAAGAATATAAGGACAAATTGAAAAATTAATGCAACGACTTAAAGAAGCTAATTTTAAATTGCAACCGGACAAATGCCAATTTCTGTGCAAGGAAGTCAATTATTTAGGTCAAGTAATTTGGGTAATTAGCAATAAAGGCGTCAGGCCAGATCCTAAAAAACTTGAAACTGTACGCGAATTTCCAACACCTAAGACGCCAAAGAATATAAAACAATTTATAGGATTAGCTGGGTATTATAGGAGGTTCATACCTGAATTTATCTCGATCTTTAACACAATTATTAAAACACAAAGTTCCTTTTCAATAGGGAACAGCACAGCAACAATCATTCGAGGTATTAAAAAATGAATTATGTAAAAAACCAGTTTTACAATACTCACACTTTTCTAAACCATACATCCTAACGACTGACGCATCAGGTTACGCAATAGGAGGTACTTTATCACAAGGAATCATTAATAAAGACTGACCCATAGCTTATGCATCTCGTACCTTGAGCGATAACGAAAAGAAATACGATATTTACGAAAAAGAAGCCTTAACAATTGTATATTGCGTCAAACATTTTAGGCCATATTTGTACGGAAGGAAATTTATATTAATAACAGATCATAAACCTTTGATGTGGTTTAAAAATGCTCAAGATGCGAACATACGAATACTTCGATGGTGATTAAAACTAGTAGAATACGATTATTATGTAATATATAAAGCCGGTAAAACAAATGTAAACGAGGACGCCTTATCAAAAAATCCCATAGACACATCGTCAGAAGATTGCAAAATAATTAATCCAAAGACCAAACTAAACCCAAATAACCCACAAGATGCTGAGCTTATCCGACGATTATTGGAAGAAGATCACGACTTCGAAGAATTGGATGAGGAAAACATTTTTAATTCACAATTGCTAGGAAACCACGACACGGAGGAGTCAAATGGAGAAGACATACCTGAAATGTATCTGCCGGAAGACCACGCAATAACTGAAATCTTTCCTGCAGATACCATACCCTTTACCCCAGAAGAATTAGCGGAACCCAGTACGACGGAGACAGTCAACGTAGTAGTACATGCAACCGAATCGGCCGAGCAAAAAGTGGAGGAACCGGTTGGCGAGGAACAAAATTGTCTAGATAAACCAGGCGAAATTCTTCACCATATGCTGACCGTATGATGACGCGTAGCCGAACAAAAATTGCAGCAAAAACAGCCGAAGGACCCGAAAAGATGGACAACCCGTAAAAACCTACCCCGGAAACCTTTACCTGAGGATGCGGATGAAGAGGGTAGCGACAACGGAATTCCTACTGCAATAATAAGAAAACCGCGAGTCACACATATTTAAATTAAGAAGACCAATCTCATTGAATCAAGAGATCTACATTCTTTACGTAAAGACAACCTACTTTATTTTATTGACACTTCAGGCAATCCTTTATATACCGGTGCAAGGAAATTATTTGAGCCAGGATATGCCGAAACTAACGAATTTATCGGTAGGAATGGCAAGATTAATCAAAAGGAAAAAGGGATACCATATAATACTACCTATCAGTGAGGATCAAAGCGAAGGACCAACGATGGTATTGAAGAACATAAAAGACGCGATAAAGAACACAAGGGAATTAGCGGAAAACCTGAAACTCGCCAGCATAAGCATCGCCAAGAACGAACACATTTTAAATGTCCCATGGAACGATATTAAGACCGGATTTCAAACGGAGTTCCTAAATTCGGACTATCATTTGCAATGGATTAACCAAATGCCCACCAAAGAATGTACGGACAGCAATATTACAGGAAATGCATTGTACTCCTGTCGGAGGACATCGTGGAGTAACCAAGACATACAACAGAATCCGTCAGAATTATTATTGAGAAAATCTGAAAACAGACGTCCAACAATCCATCTTACACTGCCTCCAATGTCAATTGAAGAAATAAGTACGTGTTAAAACTAAACAACATATGGTAGTAACCGACACTCCTGAATGGACATTCGACAAAATAGCCATGGATATAGTAGGACCTTTGCCTCGCACTAAAGCAGGTAACGAATATATTCTTACTATATAGGAGCAATTAAGTAAATTCTGCCTAGCCATACCACTGCTTAACCAGACGACAGCTACGATAGATGATAAATTCGTGAAGAGATTCATCACTATCTTCGGACCTCTTAAAGCAGTGTTTACTGATCAAGGAAGAAATTTCGTTAGCGATCTGATGAAAAAACTAGCAAAATACTAACGAATACGAAAATTTCGCACAACCGCCTTCCATCCTCAATCTAACGGTTCTCTGGAACGATCTTATCACGCACTGGTGGAATATCTAAAACAATACGTTTCTAATGAAAAGGAATTGGAGGAATGGTTAGACTTAGCCGTGCAAAATTACAATACTAGCATCCACGAAGGTACTAAACACACCCCGTACGAATTAGTCTTCGGTAGACCTGCCAGAATACCATCCAGCGAACCTTTACTTGAAAACGATAAAATAAAAACATACGACGATTATTTAAAACAATTATTTACACGATTACATCAGATTCAGATGAAAGCTAACGACAATTTAATATACGCTAAGACAAAATCCAAAATTCGCTACGATAAAAATATTAACCATCAAACATTCAAACCAGGAGATTGTATATTTTTATTAAGGGGACCCAAACCCGGAAAATTTGGAGATCAACACACTGAACCACACGAGGTGCTAGAGATCGTAAATAGACATAACGTTAAGATTAGACTAAAGAAGAATAGTCGCATTGTACACCCTGATAGGCTTCGAATATCTCACATACATCTGACACAGAAAAACATTTAAATTTCAGAATGGTCTTCAGAGCGATGAAATTCATCCTCATGTTACTCCTACTCCTACTCCTACTACAAGAGGTTACTCATACCCATGGAATTATAGGATACGATTGCGGATCCCCTTCCGCAAACATCACTACAGTCTTTCTATTAACCATCGAAGAATGTGACATACCAGTTCAAAAGGTCAACTCCACTAGAGTATATTTGCAATTATTACAAGCTAACGATTTCCACACGGTCCGCGTAATACAATGCAAGGTAGAAATAGATCGTATTGTCAAAAGATGCGGCATGTTCTCTCATACAATGGATATCCATAACGGAAAATATGCATATATATAAGAAATTACCTACGATATATGTGTTCGCATGCACATGTACGGAACATTTTCAATAAGAAACACGTTCATAGCTGGACTAAAATCTAACAGCACTGAAAACTGACCAATCACCTTGGCAGGGAAGATCAGAGATGATAGAACCTGTTCAGGAGGAGCCTATAACTACATCTACGGAAGCTGGTCCGATGTGGTAGTGCTTGCCAGTGTAAGGATCACCTTATGAGACTATAGAGCAATTGTACGGCTTGACGCGAGTCGAGTTATATTCAGGTCAGGAATACACTGCAAATTGAAAACAGGTCAGTGTACAGAAATCGAGGGAGGAAACACTTTCTAGCACAGCATACCTGACGACTCTTGCAAAGTTTCTTCATACGGTGTACTGTACGAGGGATATGCAAAAAAGATAATAGACTATCTCGACCCAGAAACTTCAACGATCTATGAATCGTAGAACAAGATACCTTTGTCTTAACAAGCTTAGGTCATATAAAAAACTGTGGTTATACCCTCGTCAAAACAGAACACCCGAAATTATCTTTCTTCGAAACTTATACCGACTTAAACGTTTTCAAACGGGTAAAGAACACTACTAATATGGATATTTTTACCTACATGAACTCAAAATTTGTTTATGTAGAAAGACACCTCCGTAATCAAATAAACCAACTTTACAGAAATATATTATTTCAACATTATACCATAGAGCTGAAAACATTGCAAAACGCTTTAGCAATAGCCACCCAATCTCCCGACATATTCGCATATCATCTCATGAAAAGACCAGAATATATTGGGTATATATTGGCAAATAAGTTCGTTCGGTTTTTTTGACTGGTATATAATACAATTTATTTTATATACAAAATATATACTAATCAATAATGTATTGACCATTCTTTTCTATGACTTCTTGCCATCTTTTTACCAATTTCATAATCCCACATTCATAACACGTCTGAGGTTTACCAACAAAAAACTAATCCAGTTGCGTTTTAACAACTTCATTTTTAGCAAAGTTTTTCCCGTTCTGAGAATTTTGCAGCGATTGGAACAAATGATAATCAGAGGGTGCCAGTGAATAAAGAGGGTTAGGCAAAACATCCCAGCCAAGCCTTAACAATTTGTTCCGAGTAGTTAATGAAGTATGGGGTCTGGCATTGTCGTGGTNATGGTATAAAATGACACCGAAACCTATCGTAGCCATCCCACCAGTAACGCTTAAACCATTGACGAAAACCGAGTGGAAATACGTAAGTCCTGGATCGCTGGCCACCAGCGGAATTTACTCACAGGCCGACCTAGAGGATCTCAGAGAGCACACTATGCTCCCAGCGGAACGACCTGCCCTTTTAAATACGGTCGCAAGGGGGATAATGGGTCAGCCAGCAGCCATCCAAGGGGGATCCATCATAAATCTTTTGGACGAGGCTTCACTAAAAAAACTTGCCTCCTCCACTTAAGAAAGGATCTGGGGACGGTTTGTAACCTTTGGCAATATTAATGCCGGAATATTAGGCATATTGCTTATCATACGCTTAATTAAATTAATCTTAGACATTATCATACATGGCTTCGCCCTACACTCAGTGTACGGGTGTTCCGCCTATCTCATTGGATCTTTCTGGGATTTACTCACACAATTATTAATTATACTTGGCGTAAAGAAAACCACCAAAGAAAACCCCCTGAGGATTCTAATGAATTACAACCACTCAGCAGTAATCCCGATAGGCTTCCCGTAACCACCGTTCCAGTAACTTCATTCGACGCGATCAACTTTCAAACCCTCCGTGCCGCACTCCCGCAAGAGGAGAACACTCCCGTACACACTGTCTCAAAAGAGGAGAACGCTCCTGTATCCACTCTCCTTCAAGAAGAGAAATATCCATACACATTTGAACTCAAATCATAATTAGCGATAACAAGCAAACGGTTTTCACATTTCGTTTTCTTTTAGACTATGGCCATCACCAACATCAACACTGAGCTATTGTCCAGATCATTCCTACCCATCTACATCACGAAGGTGGATTCACCCATCTTATTCTGGGTACAATTACGATACAATAAAGCCGCGCTAACAGAGATGGAAGAGAAACTGAATTGGAAGATGGGACGGAAAACCAATCAGTTGATCGTGTGGCCCCACCAAATCGCGATCGATGGGATCGTGACTGTCCAACATGACCAACATTGGTACCGGGTGAATATCACAGCCATCAACAACAACACCGCTATCATCCACCTAGGCGACTGGACGCAAACCGTAAGGAAAACTCTACATTGTATCTATCAACTTTTCTGGGAACTCCACCAGATGCGGTGACAAGCAATTGCTTGCAGTTTACACCAGGCGAAACCTGTGGACTTGACAGCTGTTTGGTCATATAAAACACGCCAAATCTCGAAGCTCCTCATCGAGAAAAAGGAGGCTTGGATGCGCATCCGTCAGGCAATGTCAACCAAGGCTGCCGACGTAGACATGGAAATATCCAACGCTAACACGATCGGGCGAGTCGACCTGACCAAATCGCTAGTAAATCTGGAATTATTGAGGCGAGATTCTGTCATCCCTTGCCGCCCATTTCCGTCAATTTTAACATCTATGGTATCGTTATTATGATTAAGCCATTCAATACAACATCCTTTTTCTTCTCTCGTGCCTTATTATAATAGTCAGTAAAATATACATATATACTAGAATTTTATTCTAAAACAAAAAAATATTTAAAAAATAATATATATATATGTGTATATATATACAAGGACAGTCCGATAAGTACTTAGCCTAGAAAAGAAAAACGAAAATTTTGGAAAAGTGGCGATTTATTTTTCAACATAGTCTCCTTTTAGCTCGATACAGTTGACCCAGCGATGCTCCAACTTCTTTAACCCATCTGAAAAATACGTTTTCTCGAAGTCTGCAAAGTAGGCCTCCGTGGCGGCGATGACCTCCTCATTCGACTCAAATTTCTGCCCGGCGAGTGACTTTTTCAAGTTTGGAAACAAAAAAAGTCGCACGGGGCCAAATCTGGAGAATATGGTGGAGAGCAGCAGTTCGTAGTCCAATTCGACCAATTTGGCCGTGGCGACGGCGGAGGTGTGAGCCGGTGCATTGTCATGGTGGAAGAGCACTTTTTTCTTCGCCAAATCGGGCCGTTTTTTCTGCAATTCGGCGTCGAATCGGCCCAATAATTCGACAAATAGAGCCCTGTGACCGTTTTGCCCTTCTCCAGGTACTCGATGTAGATCACACCTTGTGAATCCCAGAAAACGGTGGCCATCACCTTTCCGGCCGATAGGACAATCTTCGCCTTCTTCGGAGCACGTTCGCCGGGTGAAGTCCACTGTTTCGACTGTTCCTTGGTCTCTGGTGTGTACCAGTGGATCCATGTTTCGTCGACGGTCACGAAACGACGCAGAAACTCCTTCGGATTGCGCTTAAACAGCGTCAAACACTGCTCTGAAGTGGTCTCACGGTTGCGCTTGTTGTCCGGAGTGAGCAAACGCGGCACCTATCGCGCCGACAGCTTTCTCATGCCCAAAATTTCATGCAGGATATGACCCACGCGGTCTTTTGAGATGCCTACTGTTTCAGCTATCTCGCGCACCTTCAATCGGCAGTCTGCCAATATAAGATCGTGGATTTTTGTCACGTTATCCTCCGTGGTAGCCATTTTCGGGCCACCTGGGCGTGGCTCATCAAAAACCGACGTGCGACCACGTTGAAACTCGGTAAACCAATTTTTGACGGTCGCCATCGAAGGAGAAGAGTCACTGTACACAGCATCCAAGCGCTCTTTGATTTCGCTGCGCGATTTCCCTTCCAAAAACAAGAATCGAATCACCGACCGATATTGCTCTTTTTCCATTTTTCTAAAATCCGCGGACACGCCCTCTTCCATACGCGGTCAAAACAAAACTACGAGTCCGATTCGGCTGAAATTTTGACAGTAGCCGTCTACGAGAATGTATTACACTATAGTAAATCTCTCTTGCAATAGTGGCGCCATCGGGCGGTGAGGCTAAGTACTTATCGGACCGCCCTCGTATATGTGGAGAGCGGGATAGCCTATGGCCACCGCGCGTGCAGAAGGAAAGAAGAGGAGGATCTCGAGTACGGGTAACCCTGTGGGTGTGCGTTAATAAAACAGAGTCCTTATGATTGCTCACACGCAGCTGTATTTTCTGGCTAAGTACAAACTCGCAAACGTAACAAAGGAAAACGATGTGCTAAAAGGTAAGGAACACGGCGTAGAACAAAATGGCCACAACGCGACACGAAATGGGCGCGACGCTAAACGCTGTGGTTGCGAGAGAACAAAATGGCCGCAACGCAAAACGAAATGGGCGCGATGCGCAATGAGATGGTCGCGAGAAAACAAAAATGGCCGCAGCGCGGGACGCAGAAATCGGAACGCTATTTACAGTGAAAGCTCGGCTCGCTAGGACGCGGAGCCGGCTCCTTCCCTCACGCGGGGAGAGATACGAGACGCAGGCCGTTTGAGGCGTCGCGAGGGCGACGATCGCAATTGAGGTCGAGGGGCGACGGTCGTGAGAGCGAGCGGCAACGATTGCGATTGAGGTCGAGGGGCGACGGTCGTGAGAGCGAGCGGCGGTCGCGTGAGCGATCGGCGACGGGAGGCGTCGCGAGGGCCACGCGTGGCGCGAGCGATCCGCGACGAGAGGCGTCGCGAGGGCGACGTGTGGCACAAGGATGTAACTCGCACTCGTGGGCACTAAGCTGTTGCGGAATTGCGAGCGATGGAACACAGGCACTGATACGCGCTGGTTCGTAGTGTTGGAAGCGGAACCACAGAACGCGTTGGCCGGCGGGGTCGCGTGACCCTCTCGTAGTTCTGGCGGTGCGCGCGACGCGCCGGAAAAACCGAGTGGCGCTGGAGCCGGTCAGAAGACCGGGCGCAGTTGCAGAACTTGCTTCCTCATACGCGAGGCCGCTCTGGGCGGTGGCGCCGCCGGTGATGGACATATATATAAATATATATAAAAAGGAAAAAAATATTTTATTATTCGAACTTTTAATCTCAATTTTGAAGCATCACTTCTCTAATATTATTTGTTTTTTTTTATCAATAATTGATGTCAAATTTTATAAAATTTTAGTAAATAACTACTCAAATACTTTGTCTACAAACTTAAGTTCGACGATAAATAAAGAGCTTTAGTATTA